TGAGATCTGAGGATCACGGTTCAAAGCCAGCCCGGGCAGGAGAGACCGTGAGACTCCTATCTCCAAGAAACCACCAGAAAACCGGAAGTGGCACTGTAGCTCAAGTGGTAGAGCGCTTGCCTTGAGCTGAAGAGCTGAGGGACAGTGCTCAGGCCCAGAGTTCAAGCCCCACGACCGACAAAAAAAAAAGAAAAGTAATCAAGGACCCTACTTAACAAGTAGGGCAATGATTTAGCAACCATGAGATGACATATTCTACAGTAAAGGACATGCACGTGTTTAGGGAACACAGGAGAGGCAGTGATTCATGCTGTGTTGGCACAAAGGATCACAGAGGAGCCTCTGAAGATGTCTACCTGCGAATAACTGGTTCTGAGTAACTCAGAACTTATTCCTGGAAATCTCTTGAGTAATCACTAACCTAGAAGCTAGAAAATATGAAAAACAAATACTTTAAGCAATATGGCAATTTTTTACATGGCAACATTACCATTCATAGCCTTCACTGAATCACAGATACTGTGCTAATTAATCTTATTTAATAGCTCTGGAAGGTTACTAGTATTTTTTTCTCATATTTCAGATATGAGGAAATAACGGAAGGCTCAGAAAGATCAAATAGATTGCTTAGCCTGTAGCCTAGTAGCATCTCCAGAAATACAAAGCAAGCCTGCTACCCTTCTAATGCATAGAAGGGAAGGACTGATTGCTTAATAAAAGGTATGTCTTTTTACCATTAGAAAGCTTCAGAGAGAAACATCAGCCTTTAGTCACACAGCTATTAGCTGAACTGATAGTAATTTCTTCTCCCAACCCTCAGTCAGGGACCTATATCTACTGCATGCAGATGATTTTAGCCTGGTGCCAGTTCATTCATTCTGCTGCTTCCCCCCCCCTCCCCCCCTCAGTGCTTGGTGATTGATCTACTTTCTTCCCAGGAGGCAAGCTCACCACTCCCAGATGTGCCAAGTGCCACAGAGCCCCTGAGCATGGCCCAGAGGGAGATCCAGCGACAGTCCACACTGCAGCTACTGCGCAAGGTCCTGCAGATTCCTGAGAATGAATCAGAGCTGACTGAGGTCTTTGCCTTGATTCATGAACTCAACAGCTCTCGACTTATCCTGTCCAACGTGAGTGAGGAGACAGTCACCATTGAGCAAACCTCTTGGTCAAATTATTATGAGTTTCCATCTACACAGTGCCTTCTCTGTAACAGCCCATTATTGAAAGGGGGAAAAAAGTAAGCACCTCTTTATTTTATCCTACCTGCCTTATCCCAATTGGCTCTGTTAAGCTTTCTTCAGACAGCTTTAAAGCTATAACCTATAGGAAGGCATTATTTTCTGCTTTTCTTAAGCTGCCTTTGTCTTTCTATTTGGGTAAAATAATCAGTGTGTGTGTCCCTGTGTGTGTGTGTCCCTGTGTGTGTGTGTCCCTGAACTTTTTTGCTCAAGGCTAAGCACTCTGCACTTGAGCCACAGCTCTACATCTGGTTTTTTGGTGGTTAATTGGAGATAAGAGTTGCATGGACTTTCCTGCCCAGACTGGGTTTTGAACCATGATCCTCAGATCTCAGCCTCCTGAGTAGCTAGGATTACAGGCAGGAGCTACTGGCATCCAGCTTGTTATGATTATTTCTATTGAAAATACCTGAAAGTTAATACCAGCTTAGAATCTAGATTACATCTGAACTTCCTAACATCTTGTTTGGGTTTGGGACCTCAGTGGAACTGGTGAAATTCAACTTTGAGAGTTGGATTAATTACAGAGGAGACTTCATAGAAGATTCCACCAACCTAGAAACATCCACCTTGAAAAACTTAGAATGCAAGCTCCAGTACTTTTTGCCTGTTGTAAAGTCTTGAGAATCATGATCCTGATCACTATACTTAAGACCACTGATCACTGAGCTTAAGCCCTATATAAAGAGACTGACTTCCCCTCTGGTTTTTATTGTGATGTTTTCTGTTCTAGCTCCCTGGCAGGGCCTCAAGAGTGCTGGCTACTGACAGCTAGCCGACTGCAGGTGGTGACTGCCCAGGTGAAGATGTGTCTGAATCCCCATTGTTTGGCCTTGCACAATTTCATGGACATCTATACAGGTGGGTTCCAGTCTTTTCTGCCCTCGAGTACATAAATGCAGGTTGAGAACCACTTTCATAGACCTAAGCCATGGTTCTTTGTATACTGGATCTGCTTTTGGTGGGGCTTGTGAGGAAGAAGGGCTTCTCCTGAGCATCTCAGTCCCAGGAGATACCACTTGCCCCTCAAATGGTAGGACACTTCTCCAGAGTCTTGTTTGCTTGATGTTTTTTAAATTTTTTTCTTTTTTGCCAGACTTGGGGCTGAACTCGGGATCTGGGCACTGTCCCTGAGCTTCTTTTGCTCAAGGCTGGCACTCTCCACTTGAGCCACAGCGCCACAGGTTTTTTCTGTTTATGTGGTACTGAGGAATTGAACCCAGGGTTTCATGCATGCTAGGCAAGCACTCTACCACTAAGCCACATTCCCAGTCCCTCTCCAGAGTCTTTAAAAAAAGAATTTTAAGATGACACCAGGTGTAATGGTGTTCATTTATAATTCCAGCTGCTTGGAAAACAAAATTAGTAGTATCTTAGTCCAAAGCCAGCATGGGCAAAAAAAAAAAAAAAAAAAAAAAGCACAAGATCCTTCTGAGAAACAAACTAAAAGTAAGAAGTCTTAGATTAGTGATAGAGTTCTTGCCTAGCAAGTACTGAGGTCCTGACTTCAATCCTAGTACTAGAAGAAAAAAATAATCATTGTGGAAACGTTTGAAAATGCAAACAAGAAAGAAACTGAAAATTTGTTTTCATGACACAAACTTAACATTTTGCTCTCTAATCTTGCAGATATGTTTATTCAGAGCATAGGGAATTATGGAAGGATTTATAGGTTTCTAGTTTTTCTTTGAACAAAGGTATGTTGTGCTGTGGTGGTTTTGGAATGTGCTTTTTAAGTTTATCACAGGCATCTTCCTATGCTAACAAGTAGAGATGCATAATCGTTTATAAAGAGATTGCTATACTCTGTTTTACAGTCCTATTTATAATTAAACCCTTACGTCCTAACTTATTTTGGACTCTTTTTTTTTTTTTTTTTTCTGGCTGGGATGGACTTTTACATAGGCCTCCTGTATAGCTGGAATAACAGGTGTACCATTTTTTTTTTTTGTCGAGCTAGAGGCTTGCTAACTTTTTTGCCTAGGCCACTCTTGAACTGTGATCCTCTCAATCACTACCCCTCAACAAGGCCACAGATGTTAACTGCCTGGCTTTTGTTTTGTTTTTCGGTTTTTGTTTTTGGGGGGAGGGGACATGGGGAACAATTTTTCTCTTACTTTCTTAGTTGTCCTTTAAATTTATGTATGAAAGTTTTGATTTTGGAAACACATAAGTAAAATATGTGTCTCTTTAGTTCTTTTTAAAGATGCATATATAATTTTGTATGCATTTACCATATGCATTTATGCACTTACCATAATTTAACTATTACTTTGTTCGTTGATATTATCTACAGTGAATTATTTGTTGGCTCTTTTTAACTTGCAACAACCTGTTGTTTAAAAAAAAAAAAAAACCTGTTGTTTAAATTTTGTGTACCAGACATTTGATGTTCATTTCAGCCTTTTCTATCATGTTTAACAAGACTTTCCCTACCCCTCTATACCTTTCTTTACTGTAACACATTTCAGAATTTGCTGTCATGCACATTTGTGTGTTATATTTCATGTAAATAAAATCACCCTCTTACTTGTCTTAAATTGATTGCATTTAAATGTCTGTATTTTATTCTTAAGAGTTAGTGCAAGGTGCTTTTATGGTTTTTGTTACGATTCCACACTTTTCTGGGCTAAAGGATCTCCTGACCCTTCCCTATGTTACCACTGTGTAAAGAGTGGAAAAGGAACAGTGCCTGAGGGCTCAGTCTGGGGAATAGGGATCTTTTTTTTTACTGGGAAGAAAAACAATGATGTACTATGTTATTTCAGTGATTTTCTGTTTAATGAATGTATCATATGTTAACTATTATGTTGGTATGTATGCATTTAGTTTGCCTTGTGTTTGTTGTTGTTGTTCTCATTGTGAATGATGGTACAGTAAAATTCTTGTTTTCTGTTTTTAACCGTCAGGTCTGTTTAATGTGGGGAACAAGTTGCTAGTAAGCCTGGACTTACTTTTTGCAATCAGAAACCAGATCAAGCTGGGAGAGGACCCCAGAGTGTGTGCAGACATTGTGTTAAAGTCTGTACAGGAGCAGACAGGTAAAGGTCATCTTCCTCTCATTCCCAAGTTTACTCCCTAGTGTCCAAGGAAATTTCAATGATTGGTTTTAGTTCAAAGAGTCATTTTGTTATGTCTGAGATTTTTTAAGGGCAAATATTTTTCCTAATACATTCTTCTGTTGAAATTTTATAAAAGTCAAACTAACTTTAGAAAGCATGAGTCTATCCATGTATCCAGGGACCTTCAGCAAAGTATCATGACTGACTTGTAGAAGTACATCCTTTAGTCATTGGTAGAATTGACATTGAGCATATTAGGCTCATTCTGAATTCACAGCTCCTAGCTGTCTGCTACCAGTTCAAAGATATCAGTCTCAAATGCTTAGGTCAAAGGGTGGAGTTGTACTCTTTACTATCTGGGAATTCTTTGCCCCTTTGTATCAGATTTAAAAGATATACTTCCTTTGTGCTCTGCCTACAGGCACATTTCTGCAGGTTCCAGTTGACTGCTTTGCCTGCTGTGTGAACAGATGGAATAGCCACATAGTCTGTGTTTGGCTCTGTAATTTGGTGACAGTGAGGAAGTTATTTTGTGCCTCTATTTCCTCAGTTATAGAATGAGGACACTAATAGCTCCTGGTTCATAAAGAATTAGCTTCCTACGAGAAATAAGTCAGATAGCATCTTCAGAGTTCCTTAGTACATACAGGTACTGAGTTCAATACAGCTATTTTATTATTATTATTACTCTTAGAGTTCCCTTTAGGGTTGCTCCCAAACACCTGAAGGGCAAATGTCTAACTTCATAGTAGTTGGTGATCTTAGAGGTTTTTAGGGGAAAATTAATCCTGTAGGATGAATGTTCTGGCTGGCCACTAGTTCTCATGAGTGCCTTCAGGGACCTTTTCTGTGACCTCCTCAGTGCTCTTGCTGTCCTTCCAGAGAAGACTTTGCCCTCAGAGGAGCTGGGCCAGCTGCAGGAACTTTTGTGCAATGGCTATTGGGCTTTTGAATGCCTCACTGTTCGAGACTACAATGATATGATTTGTGGCATCTGTGGTGTGGCCCCCAAAATAGAAATGGCTCAGCGAAATGAAGAGAATGTACTGGCACTCAAGAGTGTGGAGGTGAGTGCCTCTTGGCCATGGACAGCTAAGAGCTATCTCCCCACCTTCCTGCATACTGTTGTCAAGAGATAGATGGCTCCAGTCCTGTGTAGGTTAGACCAGTGGCTTTTTCCTTCTGCAGCTCAAGATTTTTTTCTTTTTTCTTTTTCTTTTTTTTTTTTTT